TGAAAAAGCTGGGATCCATTGCAAACTCCCAAGTTATCTGGGGCTAAGTTCTGCCACTTGCTCCCCATCACTATTCAGCCAAGTTTATTGTACACAACCAAAGGCCTTTACAATAAGTAAAATGCAAAATTTCCAAAAATAATCACGTGGCGCAATGGCTCAGTGTGTCTGGCTGTCAACCAGAAGGTTTGTGGTTCAGGCACACCCAGGGACAGCTGTGAGCAGGATTCGTGCATTGCAAGGGGCTGGACTAGATGACTCTTGGGGAGAGCATTCCACTAGCAGGGAGCCACCACAGAAAAGGCCCGTTCTTCTGTTGCTGCCCTCTGGACCTCTTGCAGAGGAGGCACATGAAGGAGGGCTTCAGATGATGAGCACAGAGTCCGACTCAGTTCATAGAAAGAGAGGTGATCCTTGAAGTATTGCTCATTTTTCTGAGCTACAGTTCTCCCCATTTCCACATCAGTTTGGAAAATTTATACCAGCGTTTTAGTGCCAATTCGCCCCAATATACTATCTATCTATCTGTCTATCTATCTATCTATCTATCTATCTATGCGATTTTGCCAATATGCACATTATTGCTGAGCAGTTTTCCCTGTCATAAGGCATTTCTGATGTTATTTTCACTAATGTGTGCCCATTTTACCCTAGTATATGCATGTTTTGTATGCTTTGGTTGGCTGGAAAACCGCATTTCAAGATTTATAGAAGTTTATTCACCTTGCATATTGTTTCAGAATGTGAGGATTTCTACAGTCAAACTGAACTGAATTCCACTCCTCCTGCTTCCCTGTGTACGCTGGAAGTTCCCTCTCTGCTGCAGTGTGATGCCTTACGTGATCCTGCCCTACTTACCACGACTTCTCAAGCCACCTTGTCCTAACTACCTTCTTTCCCTTTCCATTCCTTTCACCTTCTTCCTTCCTTAAGGCCCTCTTAAGTTTATCAGAAAGAAGCGAACCTTTGCCTAGGAGACAGCATGTAGAAGGAAGGGAAGGGAAGAATGCCGAACAGGAGGTACTCTGTCATTGACAGTGCCTGGGGAGGCTGTTTGGAGTAAAGCATCTATCACAATGAATACACATTGTTTATCCGCTATACTTTATTTGGCTCTGCACGATAAAAATCACTTTCCACCAGCCAGTTAGAGCCAGGAGCCATGTTCCACATTATTTTGTGCAACAAAAAGGAAAAGGGGAAGAAAATATCAAATGATAAATTATGTATGAGAGCGCCACATGAATAACAAGCAGTAAATTCCTATTCTTATTCTTTTTTAGAAAAGAAAGAAAGAAATCCGGTAAAAAAATAAAAATAAACAAAGGGGCTTTAAAATCAGGAGGGGTGGGTTAAAAGGTCTTAATTATTCTGCATGATCCAGCACAACCGACGGTTGAAAGATGGTGCGGTACAATGGTTAGAGCTAGAATGGACACTGTGCGTTTTGCCCTCTAGATGTCGTTGGACAGCCATGCCCATCATCTCTTTTGTACAAATCGATGGTGCAACTGCAGTCGGAACCATGTGTGTAGTTCTGGACACCTCACTCAAGAAAGTATATTGTTTGAGTTGGAAAAGGTCCAGGAAAGGGCAACCACAACTATCAAGGAGATGGAGTGATTCCCCTGTGAAGAAAGGCTGCACAGCTTGTGGACTTTTTAGTTTAGAGAAAATGTGAGTAAGAAATGACATGACGGACGTTTATAAAGTTGGGCATGGCAAGGGGAAAGTGGACAGTGGGAAAGTTTTCCTCCTTCTCCTGTAACACTAGAAGTCGTGGACATCCAAGGAAGATGAATGTTGGAAGATTCAGGACAGACAAAATGAAGGAGTTAGAAGACAGGTTGGCAGCAAAGCATTGCACTACTCAGAGTAGATCCACTGAAATTAATGAATCTAAGTTGGCCATGTCCATGAATTTCACTGTGTCTACTCTGATTGGGGCTAGCACTGAAGTCTACTCAGAAAGAAGGAAAGTGCATTATAATGTTTTGTAGCCTAGATCAGGGACAGGGAATCTCTGGCTTGCCAGATGTTGTCGAAGACCTTACTCCATTTGGCCAGCATGGCTAATGATCAGGGATGATGGGAGTTGTAGTCTAGCAACATCTGGCCTCCCCATCCCTGATCTAAATTGTGCACAATGATATATGGAGCATTTGATTTGTGATGTATTAGGACTTTAGGTTAGGAGGTTAAAAAGTGATCTATTTGGGACTCCTTCTTCCACTATGATGGTATGACTCAGTGCTTATATTTTGTTTTCATTGTTCAGTATATCTTTTTCCAGCTGAATATAATTGCACTTAATCACATTTCAAAGCAAGATGATAATTATCTGCATGTCAAATTAGCTGCTTCTGAATACAAGACTGTTGGTGCTAAAAAAAAATCAAAAAATTCCCCCCATGTCTTTAAAGTCGAGGAATGGTCCCCAGATCTTCCCATCGTTTCTCTGTAAACATCAGCCTGTGATAAGCTCCTTTTTGAACAAGGGCTGGGATGCAATTTATTTTACATAGCTTTGCATAATAAAGTGGCATTTTAGATAACTCATTCAAAGGGCAGATAGCAATTCTCTTCAGACTTCATTAAACCCTTTCGTTTCATGTTAAATTAATGTGTCAAGTATATTTGGAATAAACAAACTGAAGTATTCCCTTTTGTTTGGGGAGGAAGATATAAACTGGGTTGCGATGATTTTATCAATTAGCTTTACGTTTAAAATCTGCTAATAGCCTCATGCAGCTCATCTCCTGCAGGGTTTTCTTGTTCTGTAAAAGCCAAACATTCCCGCACTTGCTCCGTGATAAAAGAAACTGACTACACATCCCGTCAAATTGACAAACATACACAACTTTTGGAAAGTTTGTTTGAAGGGGCTGGACTTTGCTTTTTAAAACTTGCAGCATTTATAGCTTCTGTATGTAAAAATGTTTCTGTCCACTAAATGCAAAGAAGAGAAGCAGAATATGCCCACTGCCAATACATTTGACACGACATCTGAACAGGGGATCCTGAGTGTTAATGTTTGGAAGGCATTTTGAATGTTGGCACCCAACTTTCAAGACTTATGCCCTCCAGGCAGATCATCACCAGGGCTTATTGGAGAAAAAGGAAAAATGTGAACTGAAGAACAGAGACAGAATTATTATTATTTGTTCATTTATTTATTGCATTTATATCCCATCTTTTTCTCCAAGGAGCTCAAAGTGGCATACTGTACATGGCTCTCCCCTTCTTCATTTAACCCCACAGCCAGGGGTATCTTACCCACAGAGGCTAGTGGCGCGGGGTGCCAGGGCACCAAGTTCTGGAGGGCGCCACGGAAGAGGCAGAGGCTGGATGCGGCGCCTCCTGGTATCAGCTCGCCGCCCTCGCCCGCCTCCAACATGCCGTGCCAAAGCAGCGCCATGCCTCCATCTGCCGTGGCCACCACGGCCCGAAGCAGCCAGCTGAGCTGGGAGGCAGCGGGTCCAGCCTCTGCCTCTTCCCCGCCGGAGGAGCCACCCTCCAGCCGCTGCCCCACCTTCTCCAGCCCCCTAAAAAAAAGGTTGACAACTCTGGGAAATGGGTGGCGGGGCGCCGGAGGGAGCTTTGAACCACAGCAACCCTGTGAGGTAGGTTAGGCTGAGAGAAAGTGACTGGTCCAAGGTCAGCTTCATGGCTGCATGCGGATTTGAACCCTGGTCTCTTAGGTTCTAGTTCAGTGCTCTAACCACTACACCACACTAGCTCATTAACATAAGCTCTCAGTGGATGCATATGAAGGTCACTTGTGCACATGTGTAAATGAAGAGAAGGTCAAAATGAGAGAAGCATTCTGGGGCCATGCAAGAGCAAATAAGCGAGGAGTTAATGGTCACCATCCAGCACAAATGTTTCCAAATGGGAAATCCCAGAGCCCTGCTGCTTGTGCAACTGAGCAAGACAAGCGTCTCATTCTGGCGAGTGTTTGAAGCCTGGCTTGCATGTCTGAGAATAATTATTTGCATTATTGTATGTGCAATTTTGAGGGTCATTGCCTGTAAATTTGTTTGAAACACTCTCTCTGGGAATCAAGTGTGATTTTGCCTACGAGCCTCTATTTGGCTGCGTGAGAGGGTGTTGATTTGCTGCCATGGCCCATCACAATGCAATCAGTTTCCATTGCTATCATCAATTTATTATTTCTTGGAAATGAACCGTAGTGTGTTGAATTTAATGAAAAATACACTTATCTCTAAGACAGACGGACTTGTTATTCACCCCCTCCCGCCGTTGTATAAAATATTAAAAGTCATGCACATTTGTAGATTGTAATACACACAATGCTGATTCAGGGGTCTGATGCTTCCATTCCACATTCGTATCCAGGCTCCTTTGTGTGCATGGAGCTCCATACAACATGTAGCTAAGTTTCCTTTCCATGAATCATAAATCCCTGTATGGGGCAGAATAACTCTTCCATAATAGAGGGGGGTGTCCATGCAAAGATTTGTAGGAACATTCAAGTGCCACAGGTATTTGGATCATCTCCCAGTTTAATAGTAACCCACTGCTTCATTGTGTGATGACCTGAGGTGGGTGGACAGGAACTCCCAGAGGAATGTCCCAGACCACCGGGGCCTACAGGTTCAGAGCCTGGACTCTTGCTGATGCCTTCCCTTGAGCAAGAAGAACCAGATGCCTCCTACAGCACATCACCAGTCCAGCAGTATTGGGAGCGTGATAGGAGGAGTGGGCAATTTCAGGCTAGAGGGTTGGCCCTTTAAGTCTCCTCTCTCCAAGGGGGTGGAGGCTAGTCTGGAGACAGAGGCATCCAAGTCCTCTGTGCTCTAAACTTTCAATGTAGTAATTTGCTCATTTGGAGCTGTCCATGGTCCTGCAGCCTTTAAGCTGCCCTGCCTGGGTTATAGCAATGGACCAGAACTTGACACTGCCTCTTCCTGACACATCCTTTGTCACCCAGTCCTGTAAGGGAGGTTGACAGCCATTGTGACCCTTGACAGCCCATTGGTGGGAGCACCTAGCAATGATCAACTGAGCCTGGGAACAGTTCACCACAAACAGGTGGGCACTGGGGACAAGAGCCATAGTGTCAGTTTGAAACCTAGGAGGTCAATGAGGTGAGAAGTCCAGCTGTGGTAGGCTCTGTGGTAGTCTGAACCATGATTCAGAAAAAGCCCGAATCCCTAAACAAATTTGGTGGAGATGGTCCAGAATTGCGCTGGGTTGGACTGTTACGGGGTGAGGCATTGGGCACCTGTAGGATCATCTAGAAAATTGATTTGGGGCTAAATCTGGGATTGGTGTCCCTAGGTTGGGCCCTTGAATCAGATGGGGTTGGGCTGTGCCTCAGCCTAGTCTTCCCCTCCTTTCCTCTCTCTCCTTTCGGGTGAGGCAAATGATGGTAGATATCCCCATGGAGGTTGAGGTGGGATAATCCAGCTGGTGCAGGCTATGTGGTGGCTTTTGCCTGCCTGCCTGCCTGCCTCCTCTCACCTGGAATTGGCACGCAGAAACAATCCCACCTCTCTTCCCATCTGGAAACTCATTGCTTGTCATTCTGTTGAAGAGAAAGGAGGCCTACTGGCAGAGAAGTCTGTTTTTCAAGATCTCTGTAAACCGCAAGGTCCTTGCGCTGGCCTGACTAAGCATTACCGGGTCCCAGGGCGTGTGGGATCGGCTATCACGTCGGCCTGTAAATAATTTATGTTGGATGGTTTTCTGGCATTTTCCCTGAACAGAGCACTATTTACCTGACATTTGACACTGGCAAAGCTATTACAAGAGGCACCCCAGAGACTACGTTAACTGACAAAATAGGGGCACCTCAGCTGGTTTACACGCTTGTGGCAAGGAAATTCAGAGGAGTCTTGGGACAGGGACTCATTTTTATGCATATCTGACTGTCAGCAATCCAAATTAACCCATACTTCACATTTTGGCATTTCCTTTGCTTTTATCCTAAATAAGAAGTTGTGGGTCGAGGTAAACTCAAGAGACTGGAGAACTATTCATCTCAAAATCCTCTGTTACATCTCCCTCTCTTTGCCTCTCCAATGCCTCCCTGGCATAGGCACCAACTTGTAGGGGCTAAGGCAGTTCCCCCCCCCCCATGTATTTTTTGAGGAAGCTGGGCCCCCTCAGTTTTCAGAGAGCGTTTGGCTCTGCCCCCTGACTCCTCACATCTTTGCACATGCAATGTCAGCATGTTGCGTGGCATCATGATGCCCCCCCCAATCCTCTGAAGAAGCTGGTGCCTCTGTTCCCTGGCTAGCAGACAGCCTTTCTGTGGTCAGTTCAGATGTGGTGACTCCAGCTGGATAAGCCATGGTTTATCTGCCTGGGAATGAACTGGGTGTCTCCATGCTCCCTTCTTGACACAGTAGCTCATTCCTGTGTGTGCCTGGCTACAGAGAACAACGGTGTCCTACTTTCTTAAGTCACAGTTTACCTTGACATCCAAACTGGGAAACAGTGGTTTAAGGCTCTCATGCTGGCAGGTTTGGAAGGACTCCTTAAGTCATAGTTTCCTGGTTCAGACATCACATGAAACCGTGGTTTGAGAAATAAATATAGCTTCGCTGAAGCCAAGTGCATGAGTGGAGGAGGGAAGAAGAGGAGGGAGCATATGGGCACATTAGTACTTAACAAACTGTAGTTCCCAGGACTCTTTGGGGGAAGCTGTGGGTGTTAAAGTGGTATGATACTGCTTTAAATCTAAGGTGAATGTGTGGCCTGTATCTTCTTCTCACCATAGAATACTGACAAAAAGTCTCTTTGTGTGTTTTACATGACTTTCAATCTGCGAAAGGGTCCAATATAGATAGACAAAATAATTAACGGGTATTTTCCACCATGACAAACCAATCAGGATCTTCTTGCTACTCTCTTTGGTACACTCATTACCGTGCGGTGTACATTAAAAAGCGATATGAATTGCATTACAGTGTAAAAGGGGAACCATTATGCAATAAATCAGAACCAAATGCCGAAACAGATAGGCTGAGCGGTGGAAGCAAGCAAATGATGATGAGCAAAGACTCTATTATTTCAACCGAGCTTTCAATATTTAATTTCCTCATGTGTTTCCCTCCTTTTATATTCTAATAAACTTGCAGTACTGTTGCAGCTGCAGTGACTCAGCAGCAATTCAGTGGAACTGGTGCAAGGCATCTCCTATCTATCTTAGTTCATGAGCCCTGGGGCTTAACAGCAGAGCAGATTTGGCCCAGAACTGAGGTATCACTCAGGGGTGGCTGGTACCCACTGGGAATGCTGGGGCAGAAAGTAGGGAAGCCAACAGTAGAATCATAGAAATGTAGAGTTGAAAGGGACCCAAGGGATCATCTAGTCCAATCCCCTGCAATTCAGGAATCACAACTAAAGCATTCCCAACAGGTGGCCATCCAACTTCTGTTTAGAAACTTTCAATGAAGAAGGGTCCTTCACCTTCTGAGGGAGTCCATTCCACTGTCAAACAGCTCTTACTGTCAGAAAGTCCTTCCTGATGTTTTATCAGAATCTCATTTCTGGCAGTATGAATCCTATCCTCCGGAACAGGAGAAAGCAAACTTGCTCCATCTTTCATGTGACAGCCCTCTAGATATTTGATGATGGCCATCACATCTCTCAGTCTCCTCTTTTCCAGGCTAAACATGCCTAACTCCCACAGGTAGGTAGAGTCAAAACTAATGATAGGCAGACCTAACTCATTTTAGTTTTATCCCCATCCTGTTCCTTCCTGAGTACTACAGGGCAGCACTGAGACCCAGGAAGAGAACGCCAAGAACCAGGACTATCCCTGGACTTGCTGTAAGTAAGAGGGCAGGTGGGGTTGGAGGAATCTGAAGTTGGTGGAGCTGTGCCCCATTTGTCCAAATGGACCACCCTCTTTAGCAGTGGGTGTTTGGGGCAGAGGCGGAGGGCAGGTGATATCCCTGCCAGTGTGGTGTAATGGTTAAGAACGGTAGACTCGTAAGGTGGTGAACTGGGTTCGCTTCCCCGCTCCTCCACATGCAGCTGCTGGGTGACCTTGGGCTAGTTCTCTGAAGTCTCTCAGCCTCTCTCACCTCACAGAGTGTTTGTTGTGGGGGAGGAAGGGAAAGGAAATTGTTAGCCACTTTGAGACTCCTTAGGGTAGTGATAAAGCGGGATATCAAATCCAAACTCTTCTTCTTTTAGCTGCTTCTGCCTGTAGTCTTGAAGCTCTGGCTCATCTCTTGTAACTATACCACTTTAGTGCCACTGACCTCCTACTTGAGATGTGGGAACACGGAAAATTGCCTTCTACTGAGTCAGACCATTGGCCCATGAACCCCAGTATTGTGTGCACTGGCTAGCAATGGCTTTCCAGGGTTTCAGGCAGGGAACTCTCATAGCCCTGCTTGGAGATGCTGGGGTTTGAAGTGCAAGTTGCACTGAGTTACAGGCCTTCTCCAAATGTTTAAAGAAACAAATAGAAGTGCTTCCCTTCAAAACAATTTTGGGCAAAGTAAACTAGAGGCCTATTCTCAGCATTTCCTGGGAACAGAGATTGACTGTTGAGCCACTCAGGGAGTTGTAACTCTGTGAGGAGAATAGGGGTCTTCTAACAATTCTCAGCATCCTTAACAAACTATACTTCCCAGGATTCCCGGGGTGGGGAGCTAGGACTGCTTAAAGTGGTATAATAGTCTTCTAAATGTAGGGTTTGAATGTGACCTTATTATGACTCATTGGAGTAAGTGACTGGATGCAGGCAGCTTTCTTTAATGAATGATGTTACCAAAGACTTCTCTCTCCTTCCAATCAATTTATGATCTCAGCTATTCTGATTCACAGCTGGGAAACTTACAATTTAATGCTCATGAAAATTAAAAACAAACAAATATATATATGCATTGATTTAAAATGTTTGTTTCTTCCCCTCTCCCTTAAAAAAAAGGCAATGAAATCTATTACTACACATAATAAACGAAACCCTACTTTGAATGTTGGATGAGCACATTAAAATGCGCTATGATTCCTTTTATTTATTCAGTACATTTGTTCAATAAAACAAGCCACCTTCTTTAATTAAACACATTTTATATTTTCATTGCTGTTGCATAAAAGTTGAAAGACTGAACAGGGAATGCATTACTAAGCCATTACACACTTCCCAAGTGATTGAAACCACTTAGTGCACCTCGTACGTCATAATGCACTGGAGAAAAGGGATATGATGATGATTATTAATAACAGTAGCGGGAGAAATGCTAAACAGTCTTTTAGCTGCGAGCAATACAAAGAAGTGTCTTAAAAGGGCATTTTGTATTTGCACTTAAAAGATTCACTATTATTGGGTTGGAGGCCTGTGAATTTTTTAACCTGGTGGGGGGCTGAAAGGGCCATTTTGCAGCTGGGGAAACTGAGGCTGAAAGGCTGCCTTTTGCTCAAGATACAAAGCCCTAAGCATCTTGAGACCCAGACACCTAAAAAGATAACCTATTGTTCTGTTCCAATTCCCCAGTGCTGCCCATAGACTTGGGCTGGAGCCCAATGAGTCTGGCTACCTATTGCAGGCTCTACGCCCCTCCCCTAAGGAATGGATAGGGAAATCACCACTTAGCCAGGTGCGCCATCAGAGGGGTGGAGATTAAGAGGCCCTTGGGAACAAGAGCTGTGGCCCCTGGGGAGGGATGTCCTGCCTGCGCCAGGATGATCTGTCTTTGCAAGGGGATCTGAATGATAAAGTTCTGGGCTGGTGTAGTTGAGATCCGAGAGATGCCCAGGACTTCTATGCACCCCACTTTCTGAATCCATACCCGTTTCACTGATTGAAGCTGGTACATGATGACTCCCTGTTTCACTCATTTAAACTGAGGTATTCTCTCAGCCAGCTTCCTGAAGTCTCACCTTAGAATTAGGCATACCTGATTCAAAGCTGTGAGACTGACTGATGCAGAAGACTGTAGCTCGGTGGGAGAGTATATGCTTTGCATCCAAAAGGTTCCAGTTTCAATGCCTGCTGTCTCCAGGCACAGCAGGGAAAGTCTCCTGCCTGAAAACCTTGGGCAGCTGCTGCCAGTCAGAGTAGACAGTACTGAGCTGCAAGGATCAGTGGTCTGCCTTGGCATAATACAGCTCCCTGCCTCCGTAACTAATGGGTTTTAAGTGATGAATGAATACGATTTTATCGAATGGGAGAAACTCTGGTCTAAATGCAGGAAAGGGTATTGATTTCTGAAAATCCTATCAAACTAGACTGTGGTAAAGTCCAATACATACATAAAGGCAGGCCACAAAACGGCCAAATATCAATTATTAATCTGACACAATTGGCTTTTATGATTTCTGTATTATTTGTCTTGTGGAACGTGGAAAGTGGTGCCCTCCCTGTAAATTATTCGTTCCGTAAAGATTTGGTTCTGCCGAAAGAACAACACATCTTTTAAAAAGAAAAGAACAATGCAGTGATACTTAAACACCTGTCTCTCTGTTTTTGCTAATCCCTGTGAAATGGCCACCCCCCCCCCAAGTCATGTCTGTTAGTCAGCAGCGATGAGGAAGCAACAAATGCCTTTTTGTTCAATGTGAAGCTGCAACCCAATGTGTTTAATTGATTTTTGAGTGTGTTCAGCATGTGGCGAAAGCAACTTACGAGAGACCACACAGGGGCCTTCAGGGAACTTGGTGAAATAATATAATGTCATCTCAGCTCACAGATTATTTGCAGGTATTATGCATTCCCTGAGTGATGGCATCGAGTGAAACAGCATGGCTTTTGAAGCCACTGTCCGCTGCTGCAGGAAGATTAAATTGGATAAGGAATTCTCATCCCAACCAGAAAGTGATGAGAGGTAGCTGAGACATTTCAGGCTGTGTTGGGCCAGCACCGTCTCTGCTGATTGGCTATCTGCCCCTTGTGGGTTGCAGACTGTTGATATCAGCGAGGCAAACCAAGCAACAGTCAGCAAGCACATTCCTTCCCTTGCCTTCACTTCTGTCTTCTACCAGTTTGTCCTAAGCCCAGCAATCTCTTTACCTTCCATTTGCTCATATTGTTATCTGATATTTGGCAAGCTTGAACATTTATGCTGCCTTATTTGTGCTTGAATGATGGTGGCGTGTTGGATACCATGAATGAGGCATCCAGGATGGGAAGGGAAGTAGCCAACAAAATGGCCATTGTTGTCAATCTTACCTCTTGCTGCTTCAGCAGCTAAGACTCCTCCGCCTTCCGCTGCTACAAAAGCCACCAGAACTGGCAACTCACTTGATGGTCTTACAGAAGCTATCAGAACCAATTGCCTTGTGAGGAGGAGGAAGGGGAACCATCAAGGTGAAAAGTCATTATCTCCACTTCTTTAAATGGGCTCTTTGGGATGTTGCACACTTTTTGCCGTTGAGATGATTTGTTGCTGCTTTTAATTGATCTTCTATGAGCTTTGCAAGTGAGTTAAAGTACCTTAAATAATAATAAATGAATGAACCAGCAAACAGCAGATCGTCTGCTTGAAATTCTCCTATAACACAGACTTGGTTTTCCAGATGGCATAAGAACATGCGAACATAAAAAGAACCCTGCATCGTGTCCTCACAGTGGCCAACCAGATGCCTTAAAGGAAAGTCCATAAGAAAGACCCAAGTACAACAGAACTCTCCCCTCCTGTGGTTTCCAGCAACTGGTATTCAGAAGCATTGCTACCTCCAACTGTGGAGGCTAGCAGCTCTCAGTAGCCTTCTCCTCCACGAATTTGTCCAGTACTCTTTAAAAACCATCTAGCTTGGTGTCCATCACTGACTCCTGTGGGAGTGAGTTCCATAATTTAACTCTGCACTGTGTGAAAGGGCATCTAATTGTTTCCTGGAAACTAAGAAGGGAGGATGCTGGACCCTTCAGATACCTTTCCCCCACCAAAGGCCCATCATTATATGCAGAAGGCTCTGAAATGGTATCTGTCAGTGTGTTGGGAATAAGCAGGGGGTATGTCTCTATGGTGGCAAAACTCAGAGCACAGCAATGCAGCTTATATTCTGCAAGTAGAAAAATCCCATATCCAATCCTGGCAATAAAGGGTTTTTGAAAGCTGAGCTAGTAAAGACACCAGAGTCTGAGACCTTACAGAGCCACTGTCAGTTATTTATTCATGATTTATTTATCAATAATACTTCTACCCCAGTTTAAAGACCTGAGGGGTTTTCCAAAGTCGCTTACAAAAGATTCTAAAAACATATTCAAAATCACCCTCAAATCTGGTACAAGGACAGAGCTAGGCTCCATCTGCACTATACATTTAAAGCAGTATCATGCCACATTAAACAATGATAGCTTATCCTAAAGAGTCCTGGGAGCTGTGGTTTCTTAAGGGTGCAGAGAGTTGTTAGGAGATCCCTGTTTGCCTCACAGAGCTGCCATTCCCAGAGTGGCTTAACAATCAATCCCTCTTCCCAGGGTACTCTAGGAACCGTTGCTCTGTTTGAGGAACAGGGGTCTGCTAACATCTCTCAGTACCCTGAATGATCTCCAGTTCCTAGGATTCAAGTTTGCAGGCAACAAGTCCTCTGAGGCAAGGGACTGGGACAGAGCAGCTGGAAGTTATTCCAGCTGTGATGGAAGCAGTCAGAGCACGGCTGATGAACCTCCAGCTGTCAATATACTCCAGTTCCCATCAGTCTCAGTCGGCATGGCAGATGCTCAGGGATGATGGGATTTGTAGTCCAGCAGCACCTGGAGGGCCACAGTTTTGCCACCCAGGGGACGACAAGTGGTTTTATTCAGAAGGTCACAGTTTCCGATGTGAATGTGATGAGCAGAGGCTGAAGTTAGTGGCATACATCCAACCCCCTCCAGAAGTTCCATGCAAGGGTAGCCAGCGTGACTTCTGTAGCACACGGCTCCTTTGCCAAAGGGAACGTTGTCCTTTGCAAGCAGATGAATGCTCAGAGCGTCTGTCTCTGCAATGCTGGAGTAAAAGTCATTTATCACTCATCACAGGTGATGCTGCAGACTTCCACTGTCTTCCAGTTAATGCTCTCTCTGAGTGCACAATAATTAATTAGCCGGCTATTTCCAGCTCGATTACAACCATCCATCATCGCTCCCCAAAATCACACAAATTGCCATCTGTAATGCCCACTTAATATTTTGGCTCAGAACGTCAGACAATATATGAAGTCATTTGCTGCCGAAAGTTAGTAAATTTGTCGCAAGGCTGTAAAATATTAATTGTCCTGTCCTTTCCTTTACTTCTGGAGCCTACCTCCGCCATTTGTCTTGGTGTAACTATCCCATATTGAAATGCACTGGGTATCCAGGGGTGGGTAGCCTGAATACAAATGCAGAAGGCAAAGCCATTATTAACCTGGCTTCTCCTTCATGCTGGCTGTGGGGCATGTCTGCACTGTCTTCTTGGGCACCAGGAGGCCAAAGAATCTTACTGCATTTTCAATGGGCAAATCTGTCCATTTTGGTTTTGCCAATCTGAAGCTCAGTTCTCCACATCTCCATTTGTTGTTGTTTAGTCGTGTCCAACTCTTCATGACCCCATGGACCAGAGCACGCCAGGCACTTCTGTCATCCACTGCCTCCCACAGTTTAGTCAAACTCATGCTGGTAGCTTTTAGAACACTATCCAACCATCTCTTCCTCTGCCGTCCCCTTCTCCTTGTGCCCTCCATCTTTCCCAACATCAGGGTCTTTTCCAGGGAGTCTTCTCTTCTCATGAGGTGGCCAAAGTATTGGAGCCTCAGCTTCACGATCTGTCCTTCCAGTGAGCACTCAGGGCTGATTTCCTTAAGAATGGAGAGGTTGATCTTCTTGCAGTCCATGGGACTCTCAAGAGTCTCCTCCAGCACCATAATTCGAAAGCATCAATTCTTTGGCGATCAGCCTTCTTTATGGTCCAGCTCTCACTTCCATACATCACTACAGGGAAAACCATAGCTTTAACTATACGGACCTTTAACTAGCTTTAACTTTAATTAGCTTTAACTATACGGACCACATCTCCATAGCAACCTGCAAATTTGTTTTTTGAAAAGTCTTCATGCAAATTCCTTGGTACGGTTGCACACACCCCGATATCTGCGAGCAGCAAGAGACCCTAGGGGTCCTAGCACATGCCCAGTTTTTTAGTTTCCTTGGAAAGAGGAGGGCTACCAATGACTACTATCCACGATAGCCACAGTTGGAGGCAGAAATACTAATTTCTGGAAACCACAGAAAGGGGAAATGTTATTGTGCTTGAATCCTGCTTCTGGTTTCCCACAGGCAACTGTTCTGCCACTGTGAAAATAGGATATGGACTAGACAGGCCTGATCCAGCAGGCTCTTCTTATGCTCTTAATAAAGACTGTGGTGTCTTTAGAATAGATCAGGAATAGGCAAGCTCGGCCCTCCAGATGTTTTGGGACTAAAACTCCCACCATCCCTAGCTAACAGGACCAGTGGTCAGGGATGATGGGAGTTGTAGTCCCAAAACATCTGGAGGGCCGAGTTTGCCTATGCCTGGGATAGACGGTTGTATTTACACATATATACAACCTGAGTATAGGATGGAGGGGCTTACAGCATTACTCTCTGGCAGATTTTGCCTTCCCATTAGGTTCCCAGGAAGATCCCCAAGCCATAACTTTGGGTTCAGCACAGAACAAGACAATCCTCTGTGTCTCCTGCTTCCAGCATTAGCTAAAACTCTCTCTCACACACAGCCCCTCTTGGCCTATTGTTCTCCATCCTAGGATATCCTGGCATCCAGCCAGGTGAGGTGGGAAAAGGCCCACCCATTTGTCTCTATGGCAACAGATCTCACTCTTTAAAGATGCTGATGATGCGTACTTGGCTGAGCGGCTAAGGCTGCTACCTTCACAAATGAACTAGTTTGACTGCTTCAGCTGATTTCCTCTTATAGATTCTAACCTCACAGATAAAGAATCAGAGTTTTTGAATGGACCCACAAATATCTTCCAGACTGATGACTCCCCAAACAATACACTCGCCCCCCCAATTAATTAATTTTACTCTTATTTTCAGAAATATATGCATATTTGTGAACACTTCCTCCCTCGCTTCCATGGTTGTGTACACATGTTTGGAAAGCTGCTCTGCAAAAGTTGGAGAAGTGTGAATTTGGAAGAAGGACAGTGTTTCAATTCACGTATTTTTTCATAGGATGTGAATTAGGTAGGTTTGCCTTTAAATGCAAATGGAACTGAATTTCTCCCCCACCCTTAGTAGTGGCCTGTGAGGTGGGGAGGTAGCATACTGTGGTCTCTGCTTACCATAACTCTCTTATGCCAAATTGATAAACTCATTCCCAGTAACCCTGACCCTATTCTATAAAAAGCATTATTCAGAAGATTGGTTTGCATGACTTACTAAGGAACATGCTAGGGTTGCCTATTTTTATTTTTTTTTTAAAAAAGTTGCTGAGCTTTTTCTAGTTTTTGATCTATTTTTTTATTGCCAAAATCTACACTACCAACATGGGCTGCCATACATCCAGATTTTCCCAGATGTTTAAGCAATTTCCTACCGGACGCTATTTACGAGGGCTGAATACTGGCTATGTCCAGGAAATCCCTGACGTATGGCAACCCTAAAACAATAAAATTCAAAATGCTAACAATGTGTTCAAAATCCAATGGAAACTATTTAGCTTAATCAATTCAACAAAAGTGATTAACTTGATCCAGTGATGCCAGCTTTTCAAAGACTGGTAGTCATTTATACAGCCAGTGACCTCCTGCTTCTTAGTAATCCCACCTCGCCGTGGGATGGTCCCACCCAATTTGGGAACCACTGGTGTAGACAATATTGAGTTAGATGGATGATCTGACTCAGTCTCAGGCTGCTTTCCACATTCTGTTCAGGAAGCGGCACTTCCTGCTTTGCTGTCTGAAACGATACAGTCGACTCTTCCACCTCACCTGCTTTTCATTCAGCCGCCTGCCTACCCTCAGCTGTATCAAACACACTCCGAGCTGTGCTCTCGGGGTGGTAATTGTTCTTTGTTTGCTTTGTTTCCTTTTGTATTTCCTTTCAGCCGCAGGTAAACAGGTAAACAGAAGAAAACCAGCTGAGCTAATCCGAAAGCTTGCTGGGGCTTTTGCAAGGGGAATAGAGGAGGTGGAAGGAGAAATTTCATAAAAATAAAGTAACCCACATGGGCTTTTCTTCTTTTTTTTTTTTTTTTTTTTTAAATCATATTTATTGAAGTTTCCAAAAATATAAAAGTACAAAGAAAAAAGATAAAAGAAAGAAGATATTTAAAAACCTTACTTTCATTCCCTACTTTCTGGAACTCCCCCCCCCCCGGTTGTATTCCCCTTTCCTTAATTTGGTTCTACAAGCTCTCACTCCCAAATTTAAAGCTTAATTTGTTTAACCCACTATCCAATTTGAATTGTACAAATCTTACCACCGTCCCACATCATTAACAGAAAAAGAAAAAAGATTTTCCCCAAGATCCACCCCAGTTCCTTCCACAAATTCCCTTTTTTTTAAACACGTCCGATCAAACATCGGACTTTTCATCCACATGGGCTTTTCATCTCTCTGCCCCCCACCCTACCAAATTGTCAACTTTTCTTCATATAGCTGTTTGCTCCTCCAGCCATCATTGCAATGAATCTGAAGGCAATCAGAAGGCAGCCCTGTTTAGGGAAGTGTTTAATGTTTAATAGATTAGTGTTTAATGTTTAATAGATTATTGTATTTTAATATTTTGTTGGAAGCCACCCAGAGTGGCTGGGGAAACCCAGCCAGATGGGCAGGGTATAAATAATAAATGATGATGATGATGATGATGATGATGATGATGAAGGGAGGACTTGATTACCTTTTCAGGCTGTTGTTTTCAAGCCAACCTGGAAAGACGGGGAGGCAGAGGAGGTACCCCTCTTTCCTTCAGGCTTGTTGCTTTATATAGGACTGGCTTGCACAGCTGAAGGGCAAGAGGTAAGTCCTTCGTTTCACTGCTAATGCAAAGAGCATAAGGGACCTCTGCCTTTTATGTAAACCAATTAAGATGGCTTATGCTTCCTCCATGGCCTTCCATGCCCCCCTTCCCTGCTAATATATTTGTCACATTAAAGCCTACAGCAGATATGCAGAGAGAGGGAGAAGTGAGCTAATGAATTGCAACAGACTGGTCCATCCATGCGACAAGAACAGATGAGTGTCAAGCAGATAACACCACCAGCCCATCTCCTGACACTTAATGTTTGTCTTTTCCGCCTCCGCCTCTGCCTCCTCCTCTGCTTCACCTGTAGTTCAGGTGGAAGGGCAGGTGAGTGAGCTGTTTCCTTTGGAGTGCTCTAGGAGGAAATGAAAGGAAGCACTCTGAGATGAGCATGCCTTGACACCTTATGGTCAAGGGTGGACATCAGGCGAATGTTCTAAAAGGAGTCACCAATATGATGCTTCCAGCAGAGAGGACAAAAGCCCTTTTGCCAACATAATCTGATGGGGTGGACCCTGGGATCACATCCCATGTTGCAGAGAAAGGGGTGCAGGTTTTGAATGGCAAGCGGCGGTGCTCAGCCTGAGAGTTCTGACTCAATGGCCTTGGAGACCAGTGAACAGCACAGCATTTCTCAGGGTCCCCCAAGCTTAGGGTAACATGTGTTTTATGAAGTTCTTTCCTTCTTCAATTAATGCTAAACTCCACCTATTGTTATACCAAAGTGAAAATCACAAATCCTGTAAGGTTTTTCCATTTTGTGGCAATTGAGGTTCTGGCAGGTTCTGGATTGTATCTTCTATACAACAAATAGATAGGCACACATATTCCTCTCCACAGTACATAGAGGGAAGCTGATGGGAGGCCATTGAGGCCACCTGAACCTCAAATGACAGAAGTACCCCCAAGCTGCGTACCCACTCCTTCAGAGGGAGTGTGACCCCTTGAAGAGCAGGCTGTCAGGAGCTCGTCCTACATTCAAGTAGGACCCTGGCAGAGACACATGCCCGAATGGCATGTTCCCTCCCTCCTGGTCGAACATTCGGGAGCTTCAAAAGCTTTCTTCTGCCCGAACATCACAGCGCCGGATGCCAACAGACATCGGCGCACTTAGGGATCCGCAGAGTCTTCGCAGCTTGCGTAACAGAACTCAGCAACTCAGCATTTTGGCTAATCTACTTTATTTACATATAAACACACACGGAGCACTGCAACATGGCTCCCTCTCTCTCTAGCATCAGACAGCAAAGAGAAAGAACAAAGGACAATAGTCCCACTTCATGGAACACAGTAACACAAACATCCTGTCTCCATCGCTTCCGACTCTGTGGAGTCAAAACATGTACCATCATGTGATAGACAACAATCCCATGACTGCAATCATGGAGCAGGAATTCTAACACAGGCAACCACCCACTAACTGTGCCTCTGTCTTATCAGGATTGAATTTCAGTTTGTTGGCTCTCTTCCAGTCCATTACCAGGACAAGAATGCAGGCCAGCACATCCACTGCCTCACCTGCAGATGTAAAGGAGAAGTAGAGGTGTAACTTGTATATACAGTATCCCACCTTTTCCTCTAAGGAGCTCAAGGTGGTGTACATGGTTCTCTTTCATTAACCCCCACAACAACCCTGTGAGTTCGGTTAGGCTGAGAGGCAGCAGCTGGCCCAGGGTCACCCAGTGAGATTCAAGACTAAGTATGGATTAGAATCTTGCCCTCTCCTAGGTCCCAGTCTGACATTCTAAGCACTAAAAAACACTGGCTTTGTCGGCACACCTATCCTTATTCTCATCAGGGCTCTTTTTTTCTTTTCTTTTTTCTTTTGCTAAGACTGGAGCTTGCGTGATTACCTATAATAACCCCCCCTCCCTGCTTTCCACATAGAACATTAGCCTGGCATGGTCCCTTGCTAAGTCATTTCAGCTGGCTGATATGAAAAGAGGCAAAAAGAAATTCTTTCTGAAGCTGACATCAAAGATGATAGAAGATCAAAAATGTTTTAAAGGGGGGAGTATTAAAGGCAGGACCCGAAGCGATGCAGCTAATGAAAATGTAAGAAAGGGGCCAGGGAGGAGGGAGTTTAAGGGAAGGATGTAGAGATCAGACCCTTTTGTCGAAAACGAGTCTGTTTACTTAAGAAAGTGCGCGCACACCAATCCAAACGGTCGGAAGGTGCTATTAAAACTCATGAATTCAGACGAGAAAGTGATTTCTATTGGGATGTAAATTTATATTCATGAAAGAACTTTGGCGATGAGGATGATTTTTAAAAACCAACAAAACCAAACCGTGGAGAACCTTGTTTCTATTCAAGGCGTAGCAGGCTGACACTTGCATCTCAGAAATAAAAGGCGGCTCCCATCACAACACCAGGGTGAATATTCATAGCTGCTTTTAAAAAACTGGTTTCTGTGGGCTATTTCCCTTAACAGCTCAACGAAGGCTCACATTCCCTCTCTTTTCCCCCCTCCCATCTTCCACAGCCCCCCTCCCAAGAATCCCTTTTTTGTATGTGTGTGTGTGTCTATCTTTTGTGCAGAGAACAAAGAACATTGCATCTCTCCCCCCCACCCCACCTCTCCATCTGAACAGATTTAATCTCTGACGCTTAGAGGCAAAGGAAACTGCGCAAAACAAAGACACACAGCATTTTATCCGCCATGTCAAGGTTCATAAAACAGTTCTTCCTCTCTGCAGGGGCAGGGGTGGGGGAAAAAAAGAGGGTCGGGGAATAAAAAAGAGAAGTTTCCCGGTTTGGGCACAGGGTTGTTAAAGAAGGTGGCATCTCACAGAAAGGAATCTGAGTAAGAAATGAAAGTTAAGGGTGCATTTAGATGTGGGGAATGTTGCACTGGTTTTTCTGACTATTATGCTAGTGGTTCTCATGTTCTGTTCAAACTGCAGGACCTGTTGCATCACAGAACTGGCTTTTGGACCAAGACACCAGCATGTTGTGCTAAATCCCATTCACAGCAGTGGGTGCAGTGTAGCACAACAGTGAATATAATTGGACAACATCATTACTCCTCCATCCTTTCTACACCTGAGTGCTTCTGTTTCCCTGTGAAAATGACAGGAAATAACTGCATGCCAGCGCAGTACCCCAAATTTCATCACTTTACTCCCAAGGTTTTCTGGGTCAATGGGGTTGCACATGGATTTTTTTCCTGGAACCAATAAACACAGCTGGGGGAGAAATTCAATCTGGTTTGTATTGAAAGATGAACCCTCTGCATCCTCTGAAACAATGTGCAAACCAAAACACAGCTGTCTCTGAATTTTGCAGTGTGGTTCTCCAGCCATGTAATGCACACAAAAATGCATATATTGGGGGTAAAGTGTACATACAAAGACCTACATTATTGAAAACAACATATAAAAATGCATTTTATTAGGGGAAAGCGCATTGCAAAAAAATTGTATATTAGGCAAAACTGCAAAAAAACGGTTTTAGGAGAAATTTGCACCAATGCTTTCCTGAGGTGTTGTTGTTGTTGTTTTAAAAAAATTGTGTTTGTTTTGTTTTCTCTTATATCTTATGTCCAAGTGGATAGCTCAGTTGGTTAGAGTGTGGTGCCGGTATGCTAAGGTTGCAGGTTTGATCTCTCTATGGGACAGCTGCATATTCCTGCATTGGGTGATCCTCAGGGTCCCTTCCAATTCTACAATCAATGATTATCTTCTAAAATCAATGAAAATAACAAAAAGGAAAATGGAAAATAATAAATGTGGACTGATATGGAAATGTGGAGAACTGGATTTGAGACTGGAAAAAATGAGAGAATCAAAATGGACAGTTCCATCCTTCCTTAGCCACCAGGTTTTCCACAAAAGCAATATGTCACGATCTTCCATACTCCAGATGACGTCTGAATGAAGTGAGACTATTACTCCTCAAGATTTGGAAACTATGGTTCTGTTCATGCAACTTAAAAACTAAAATGCAGTGCTTCCTGCCCACCTCCAAATTTCATTCAGTTACAGCGCCTGAAAGCGCTGTCACATAGAGGAGGGAGAAAGGTTGTTTTCTGCTGCTCCAGAGAAGCGGACACGGAGCAATGGATCCAAACTACAAGAAAGAAGATTCCACCTAAACATTAGGAAGAACTTCCTGACAGTAAGAGCTGTTCGACAGTGGAATTTGCTGCCAAGGAGTGTGGTGGAGTCTCCTTCTTTGGAGGTCTTTAAGCAGAGGCTTGACAACCATATGTCAGGAGTGCTCTGATGGTGTTTCCTGCTTGGCAGGGGGTTGGACTCGATGGCCCTTGTGGTCTCTTCCAACTCTATGATTCTATGATTCTATGATTCTATGATTCTATGATTCTATGAAAGCGTTTGAAATGAAAATGTAAACATGAAAGCAAATATGTCAAGTTCCACTGTGGGATCAAACGGTTAAGCAGTTTGGAACCATGTGACCTGAAGGGATTGCTTGCACTTGTAAGATCCCTCCCATAACCAAAGTTCTGCACTTACAGTCCTGCTTGTGTGTCTGTTGGTGAAATCAGTTAGCTTGGCGAACACACGAGACAGGGTATTCTTGGTGATGGCTCCACCATCGTGTAACTTTCTTCCAGTTAACATTTGCTTGGGCCTTTCAGTTCTGCCATGGGAGAAAGCTTTCTAAAACTTGTGTGATGAGTCTGGGAGAGATGCTAAAGCATGTTGGCTGCCTGCCTGTGCCGTCTCTCTGGAATTAAGCCCAGGTGTACTGTTTCTGCTTTACAAGCAGCAAGGGGGGAAATTGAGCATAGGAGACAGAAGGAGGAAGCTGAGGGACATTGCAAAGAAGCAGAAAGAATTGCTAAAAGAATATTGTAATAATAGTTCTTTGGTTTGTAGGAGGGATCTAGGCAGGGCAGGTTATCCACAGTCTTCTTCTAGGATGAGTCACAGCTCTCAGGACAGAAGCTTAGAGCATCTCCAAGCCTTCTCCTGTGATGTAAGAAGGAGCCAAGAACCCTCAGAGGAGATCCAGGTCTTGCAGAGAAAATCACACTTACATATTTCCCCACCTGCCTTCCCTTGCAAGAGGCTAGGTGATCAAATTACGTATCTGCCATGCATCTTTTCCTCTGCATCCACTCAATAGTCTCTCTCTATAGATATATATTTAGAATTAAATATTAATTGTTACATATCGGGGGGAAGGAAAGGCAAACTGAAAATCCCCCCTGCCTTTTACACAGCCTGAAGGCACAGTTTAGATCTAAATAATTATAGCACCGTTCATATAGGCACTGAAGCAGAGAGAGTCTGAAAGTTGCTGATGTCAGCATCAAGCAAGACATTAATACAGACGTATATTATGGAATGTGGCAGGTGCCGTTTGTCCTGTAGAGTCTTTGTTTGTGTGCTGGCTGATTGGCCACCAGTCCGCCATGAAAGTCTCTTGGTTTTTTTCCTCTGCTCTTTGGCGACACACATTTTTTGCACCAGTTTTTTTCAGAAGGCGCTATCTTCCGAATGATGAGAAAGGAGATTCTGACTAAGCATTAGGAAGAACATTCTGATGGGAAGAGCTGTTTGATAGTGGAACCAACTACCTTGGAATGTGGCTGTCTCTCCATCATTGGAGGTTTATTCACTGAACGTGGGTGGTGCTGTGGTCTAAACCACAGAGCCTAGGGCTTGCCAATCAGAAGGTCGGTAGTTCGAATCCCCGCGACGGGGTGAGCTCCCATTGCTCGCTCCCTGCTCCTGCCAACCTACCAGTTTGAAAGCATGTCAAAGTGCAAGTAGATAAATAGGTACTGCTCCAGCAGGAAGATAAACGGCATTTCCGTGGGCTGCTCTGGTTCGCCAGAAGTGGCTTAGTCATGCTGGCCACATGACCTGGAGTTAGCCAATAAAGTGAGATGAGAGCCGCAACCCCAGAGTCGTCTGCAACTGGACCTAACAGTCAGGGGTACCTTTACCTTTACCTTACTTATCCATTCTGGTTTCTCTCTTATTTTTGCACTCTTAATTTCTTCACATTTTCACACGTGAGTTGTTTTTTAAATCTCTCCTGAAAATTCATCAAGATTTCAGTTCACATTTCACTTAATATAATGTATTTTGGGGCACACTTTACACGAGTATATGTATTTTCACACTCATTACTTATCTGGAGAGTTGCATAGCGAAATGTGGAAATGTCTCAGTTTCGAAGGATGACCGTGTTTCAGTTCAAGTAATGCTTTGGAAGCTGCAAATCAGGCAGGTCTGCCTTTAAATACAAGCAAAAACTAATTTCTCTGTATATTCCTCACCCCCCAGTACAGGAGGCCTGAACTCCCATGTTTCCCATATGTGAAATGTGGGAGGCTATGGAACTGTCAACTCCTCCTGAGACTGTTCTCAATTAAAATGGGAACTCTTTAGCAACATTTAACACTGCATACGAACATCAACAAAATATGGAAGAAAATATGTTTATCATAACTGAATGTCTCCAGGGAGATGGGGGGGGGCAATCCTATGGCAAGATCCACCGGGACGAGCAGCTTAGGAGATCTCCAGCTCAGTCTTCAAGCTTGGCTCAGCTAAATATACTACTATACCATCATAACTTGCTCTTCTTGGCTTGTTGAGCTACAGCTGAGCCAAGGCCAGTGTTAACTAAAAGGGGGGTTCCAGGGGTGTAGCAGGGGTGGGACCAGACAGTGTGAACTTAAGGCTGGATCCAGGGCCATTCTGCTCAGTCACATGACCTGGGAACCCAGGGTATTTTAAAACCTTGTTTTCCCTCTGTCAGGTGTAGGCAGAGCAGCAGCAGCCACCCCACTGCCAAATGGGGTTTGCTCCTGATGTAACTTAACACCAGATTAATGTACTCTGTCTTGCTTTACACCAACATCTTAGACTTGCAGGACCATAGAAGTGTAGCCTGGGAAGGGAACCAAGGGGGCATCTAGTTGTATACTCTGGCGGAAATGGCATTGGGTAGGATCAGCATAGTAAAGGGGGCCCCTATAAGAGGCTTGGGGTGGAGGATTGGCTGTAGTTTGCCAGTCCTCTGCCTGCCAGAGTTTGGTCCTCTGCCTGGCTTGAATCCCCCACTCTGGTCTACTAGTGAGACCTTGGGTGTTTGGCATGAACCACATTAGGACTCAATGCTGGGTTTCTCCTATGGTTTGGGGCCTGGAAGCTTCTCAACTCTGACTGAGTGCCATTCCATCAGCAAGAGCTGCTGGACTAAGGAACTGAATCCGTGACCTATTGCCATGCCAAACCAACTTTCCTTCTGTAGTCGGTAAAGATTTGGGCTGATTTCTCCCAACCTTAGTGTCCAGTTATTTCAGCGCTGCCACAGGACCATAGAAAGCACCTACCTGGGCAATGTCTTTTCACAAACTGCTCTTGACAACTTCATCTCTGCAATCTCTAGGCTATTTGTGTGGGGTTTTTTAAAAAAAAAATATAAAAAGTATATTTGTTCCACCATTAAATTTTACTTTTGGCACTGTTGTTTAAAACAGCGATTTCCCAACACTTCTGACCTAGAGATTCAGCTAAATGTGTATATTTCCTCAGAAAGCCTTCAGAATATATGGCCGTGTCTCAGGACTGCAGGGGTTATGGTGAACAATGTCATAAAGTGCTCTGGAGTGTTCAGGTAATATAAACGTCCAAGCCTGAGTTTGATGCATGAATTTTGGGTTTCACTTGGAGGAGTGGAAGTGGAGACACGTTATGCATGTGCCCGCCCCCACACAAAAAAGAGGAATGACATTCAGGATGGGGACTACATAGCAGAAATGTCTTTGTTAGGTCTGCCTACCAGTCCTACCTTCCAGGGATAGTCCCTATTCTTACCTTTTGAGGACAGCCTCGTTAGAATGTTTCCCATGAGGTTGTTCAACCAAAGTGATCCAGGGAATGGAATGACTTCCCTAAGAGGAAAGATGGTGGCGTTTGGGGCTTTTGAGTTTAGGGAAAAGGCAAGTAAGGAGTGACATGATCAAAGTTCATAAAATCATGTATGGCATGGAGAAAACTGATAGAAAAAAGTCCCCCCCCTCACATAACACTAGAACTAATGGGCATCCTGTTGGGAGATTCAGCACAAATAATATAAAGTACTTTTCCATGCAGTGTCTAGTTAAACTGTGGAACTCACTCCCACAAGAGGCAGGGATAGCCACCAACTTGGATGGCTCTGAAAGAGGATTAGACAGATTTATGGAGGAGAGGGTGATGGATGGCTGCTGGCC